GTGACCACATTGCGCCCAATCACCGGTTCCGGCGCATCCCGTACACGCTTCCCGCCCCCCTACAAGGCTCCACCTACGGCCCCAGCGGGGGTGACCACATGGCGTTTCCCCGCCCGTCTCGGCACACCCTTCGCATGTTCCCTGCCCCCCCCCCTCCTCCTGGGATGCTCCACTACTGGCCCCAGCGGCGGTGACCACGTGGCGCCCCCCCGCCCGTGCCGACGACGACGACGACAACGACGACGCCGATGCGGATCTCCCCATCGGTGTTAAAGGGGCCCTGGGACATACACATAAGTAGACACAAATCCCCGGATCCCCCATATGTTTCTCACATTTTTGTGGAGTTTCGTTTTTTCCCCCCCTCCCACGCCCCATGTTTTTTATATGTTCCAGGGGATCGACGATTGCGTGTGTGTGTGTGCGTGTGTGTGCGTGTGTTGCCTGAACGGGCCCGGTTTCCTATCTTCCCGTCGCGCCGGGGCTTCCTCCTCTCCTCACGCGCACTGCGGCCCAATTTGCATCTAGCGCGCCCCACTGATGCCCGATCGCCAGAGCACTAACCTCTGCCCAGCCGCCGACGAAAAAAACTGTGTGCGTGCGTGTGTGTGTGTGTGTGCGTGTGTGTGTGTGTGTGTCTGTGCGTTTGTCTGCGTGTCTTTGTCTGTGTCTGTGTGTTGTGTCTATGTGCGTCTGTGTGTCTGTGTGTCTGTGTGTCTGTCTCTGTGTCCCAGTGTCTCTGTGCCTCTGTATCTCTCAGTATCTTTGTCTCTGCGTCTGTGTGTCTGTGCGTCTGTATGTCTGTGTGTCTGTATGTATGTGTGTGTGTGTCTGTGCGTCTGCGTGTCTGTATGTCTGTGTCTCTCAGTCTGTGTTTCTGCGTGTCTGTGTGTTTGTGTGTCTGTGTGTCTGTGTGTCTGCGTGTCTATGTGTCTGTGTGTCTGTGTGTTTGTGTGTCTGTGTGTCTGTGTGTCTGTGTGTCTGTGTGTCTGTGTGTCTGTGTGTCTGTGTGTCTGTGTGTCTTTATGTCTGTGTGTCTGTGTGTCTCTGTGTGCGTGTGTCTGTGTGTCTGTGTGTCTGTGTGTGTGTCTGGTGTGTCTGTCTGTGTGTGTCTGTCTTTGTCTGATTGTCTTCGTGTGCGTACGTGTCTGCGTGTCTGTGTGTCTGTGGTGTGTTTGCGTGTCTGGGTGTCTGTGTGGCTGTGTGTCTGTGTGTTTGTGTGTCTGTGTGTCTGTGTGTCTGTGTGTCTGTGTGTCTGTGTGTCTGTGTGTTTGCGTGTTCGCGTGTCTGTGTGTCTGTATGTCTGTGTGTTTGTATGTCTGTGTGGCTGCGTGTCAGATTGTCTTTGTGTCTGTGAGTCTGTGTTTGTGTGTCAGTGTGTCAGTGTGTCTGTGTGCCTGTGTCTGTCTGTCTGTGTGTCTGTGTGTCTGTGTGTGTCTGTACCTGCGTGTCTGTGTGTCTGTGCGTCTGTGTGTCTGTGTGTCTGTGTTTGTGTGTCTGTGTGTCTATGTGTCTGTGTGTCTGTCTGTCTGCGTGTGCGTATGTGTCAGCGTGTCTGTGTGTCTGTATGTCTGTGTGTCTGTGTGTCTGCGCGTCGGTGTGTCCGTGTGTCTGCGCGATCTGTGTGTCTGATTGTCTGTATGTCCGTGCGTCTGTGTCTGTGTCTGTGTGTCAATTTGCATGCGTGTGCGTATGTGTCTGCATGTCAGCGTGTCACTGTGTCTGTGTGCCGGTGTGTCCATGTGTCTGTGTGTCTGCGTGTCTGTGTATTTGTGTATTTGTGTGTCTGTGTCTGTTTGTCAGCGTGTCTGTGTGTCCGTGTGTCTGTGTGTCTGTGTGTCTGTAACTGCGTATATGTGTGTATGTTTGTCTGTGTGTCTGTGGGTGGGCCCACGACCCCGGATGGGCATGCCCCGAAATCGTTTGTGCCCCAGCGTCCCTCTTATCACGACGTATACACCGAGTGTGCGCGCGACGAGATTGTCACGGCGTGCGGCGCGCACTCTGGTCTGAAGTCGGGCGTGTCTTTCCACAGGAGGAATATTCTAAAATGGTAAAAAAATGGTCCGGGGACGATTTTTCGTATATTTTTTGTTTTTTGTTGGGCATGCTTTGTCTATGTTTGATTTTTCGTCCAAAATCCGCCTGTAGGACATGCCCGACCGAATTCTTCGTCCCTCAGACACCACGCGCAGCTGTGACGCTGGAAAGCAGCAGCGCTCACCTGCATCGTTGCCTCCAGGGCCTCCGCCGCGACCCTGGGGGCCCGCGATGCTGTCCCCGCGGAGTTATGTCGTTGGCCCGAGGGCGCCCTTGAGGGCCCGAAGTTATTGGCTCTTCGCGCTTCGCAGCTCGGCTCCGATTCCTTATCCTCCTCTTCTCCCCTGGGAGGCGGCGCGAGAGCGCGAAGTTATTCGCACCTCGCGCAGCGCGAAGCGCGAAGTTGGGAGCCCTCGTTGGCCCGAGGGGCCCGCGTCGTGGGTTCGAGGGTTCCTGCCGTGGGCCTCGGGGCCCTGTGCCCCTGCCCCGTCGGGCTCGCGGGCGCCCCTCCCGGCGCAGCCGCCGCCGGGGTCCGTCCCGGGAGGTCCTGCGCCCAGAGGTCAGAGGCGACGTTATAGGGGCGAATAGCCCAGGGGAAAGCAAGACATCACCGCTCACCAAGCCACCCCAACCCAGCCCGAAGGCCTCAGTTTGCCCTCTATTTCCAGTTGGGGTGGCGGTGGAACACTGACAAAAGCACATGGGCACCGTACCCCCCCCCCCCAACCCGAAATTCGTGTCAAGTTCGGATCTTCGGGTTGGGTTGGGGTGGTCTGGTAGGTCGTCAAAACATGTATTCAGGTGCGCCGATGATGTATGTCTTCGAACAGGCTCCCGGGCGAATACGTGCGATGCCCGCCCTTGGGCTATTCGCCCCTATCGTCGCCGCCGAAAAGACGCGGGTCCCACGGTGGTCCCACGGGGCCCAAAGTTTCTGGCGCCGTGCCCAACATGGCGCTCAAAGTGGTGCCCCCAGAAAGGTTTTTGGAGGTGCGTTGTGTCCAAAGCTGGTTCGGACGCGGGGATCTTCCGCACCTTTTGTCCGCTTTCATTTGGGGCACATTTTTGGGTACCGAGTTTTCCTCCTGGGGCACAACGGGGTCCTTTTCGGGGCGCACGTTTGGGCACGCGGCCAGCGCATTCGGGCATCCATTCCGGGCACAGTACGGACTCCGTTTTGGGTGCGCAGGGGGCCCGTTCCGGGCACGCGTCCAGGCATCCGCAAGGCATCCGGGCGTTGGACTGTCGGGATCCCGTGTCGGTGCATCGTTGTGGCGTGTCGCGATGGCGCCGTGTCGCAACGGTTTCGCGTCGCAGAGATGGAGCCCGAGGGGTCTTCGGAGGGGGCTTTGAGGCACTGGGCAAACAAGAGTAGTGGGCCAGGAAGGCATCGGGCAAACAAGGGAAGGGGCCACGAGGGTATCGAGTAAACTAGGAAGGCACTCGCGAAGCACACCGCGTTTGAACACATTTAATGAATCTTGGGGCACCGTTTCGGGCGTACTTTGGCATGTCCTGTCCCTTCTCAGAGGGCTTCACTCGTGGCCCTAGCGGGGGTGACCAAGGCGTCCCCCTGCCTTTTCCGGCGCAGCCCTCACACGCTTCCCGTCCCCCGTAGGGGGCTCCTCCTACTTACGCAAGACGAGAGATTTTCCTCTTGAGGTGCAAAAATGGCGATGATGAGTCGAGTTGGAAATTAATGACCGAACCCCCTTCCCCCGTAGGGGGATGTATGGCCCCAGCGAGGGTGACCACATGGCGTCTCCCCGCCCATTTCGGCGCACCTCTCGCATGTTTCCTGCCCACCATGGGACCATGGGAGGCTCTACCTATGGCCCTGGCGTGGGTGTACACATGGCGTCCCCCCTCCCCCCATTTCGGCGCAAACGTCACACGTTTCCCGCCCTCGCCAATGTCGGCGCCCCCCTTACACATGTCCTGCCCTTCATTGTAGGCTTTACCTATGGCGCAAGCTATGGTGACTACATGGCGCACCCCGCCTCACATGTTTCTTGATCATCCCAAACCACTGGTCCAGGGGAGGAAGAAGGAAGATTCTCACACGCCGCGTCAATCTCCACGTGGACATTCGGGGATTCGTCGGCCTTCCGGCTGCTCCGCTCCCCCGTTTGCCGCCCGGGCCCGAGGCGGGGCAACAAGCTTCGGCCTCTGCTCTGGGGGGAGCTGTGTGGCTCCTCTGCTGGCCGACGTCCTCGCAGGGGAACGTGGGGTCGCCGCCGCTCCGGTGTGGCGGCGCGCCCTCACGGCCCGCTTGCGTGGGTCCTTCCTTGCCCGTGGCCGCCGGCGGTGTCGGCTTTCTCGCCCGCTCTCCCTTGGGTGTCTCGAGCGCCGGCCTGGTGGGGTCTCGAAGGCTCCTCGGGGTCTCTCGGGTTTCCCCGTCCGGCCGCATTCGGTGCTTCACCCAACGGTCCGCGCGGGCGCACGGGGCCACCCGTGGGTAAGCGGCCTGGCAGGAATCTTTCCCCTTGGGGGCTTAGCGGGGGTGACCACCTGGCGCTCCCCCGCCAACTTCGGCGCACCCCTCACACGCGTCCTAACTCTTACCACTTATGGCCCCGTCCAGAGGTCCTTGAAATAGCCGCCTCGCGCTAATGAAGAATAGGATTCTTCGCCAGGCAAGTTCATAGCCTCCTGTGGTGAGCACGAAACGTTATCAGAGCATTCCTGGCTCAGACAATCTTGCCTGAATGCGTCCATTTTGTTCTGAGTGCGTAGCGTGGCAGGCCTGTAGGCATGCCGGAGGGCCGGCCTCCTGCTCAAGTCGTCGTCGTCGTTGCCGTCGCCGTCGCCGTCGTCGTCGTTGTCCTCGTCGGCGTCGGCGGTGGCGTCGTCGTCGTCGTCGTGGTCGTCGTCGTCGTCGTCGGCGGCGGCGGCGGCGTCGGCGTCCGCCGGGCGGGGGACGCCCCGCCGACGCGCCTGCCCGGCGGCCGGTGCCACAGGTGCAGCTCGCGCCTGCGGCCGCCGCGCTGCGGGGCCAGGCCTGGCGCTCGCACCTCGTTGGTGGCCGGGCCGCGCTGGCGACGACGACAACGATGTCGACGTCGACGTCGACGACGACGCAGTTGGGTGCGGCAGTTCGGCCAATCCCTCCTGAAACCTTCCTGAGGAAGGTTTTCGGACGATTTTCCCGAAAAAGCCGAGGAAGGTTTTAGGAAGGATTGTAGGCAGATTCTTCCAGAAAGCCCTCCCGACAAACGTTTTCAGACGTTTTTTTTAATGTTCTTAAAAAAAAGCCCTCGTGAGGAAGGTTTGAGGCAGGTTCTACGAAGGTTCTTCCAACAAGCTTTCCTGAGGAAGGTTGCAGGAAGGTTTTCAAGAAGGTTATTTTAAAAAGCCTTCCCGAGGAAAGTTTTAAGGACGGCTTTCAGGTGTTTCTTATTTTTTATATTTCCTGAGGAAGGTCCCTTCCCAAAAAACCTTCCGAAGGAAGGTTTTAAGAAGGTTAGTTATTAGGAGGATTGGTCAAACAAAAACTAGAAAAAGGTTGGTTTGAAGGTTCTTAGGAAGGCCCTTCCAACACAAACTCTCCGGAGGAAGGTTTTAGGAAGGTTTGTGTGAGGAGTCGTTGTTACAAAAACTTCATTGGGGAAGGTGTTAGGAACATGTTTAGGAAGGTTCTTCCGACAAACCATCCAGAAGAAGGTTCTAGGACGGTTTCTGCGACGGCTCTTCCAACAAATCCTCCTGAAAAGGTCTTCGGAAGGTTCTTAGGAGAACTCTTCCAAACAATTCCTTGAGGAAGGTTTTAGAAAGGTTTTTAGGAGGATTCTACCAAAAATCCTTCCAGAGAAAGTTTTTAGGAAGGTGTTTGGGAAGGTTCCTCCAACAACAACTTTCCAGGGGAAGAGTTTGGGCAGGTTTTTAGACTGGCCTTTCCAAAACAATTCCGGAGGAAGGTTTCAAGAACTGTTGTTCAAGGTTCTCCCAGCAAAAATCCCGAGAAAGATGTTAGGACGGTTTTTAGGATGATTCTTCCAACAAGTCCTCCTGAGGAAGGTTCAGGAAGGTATTATTAGGAGGATTCTTTCAAAAAGCTTTCCTGAGGAAGGTTTTAGGAAGCTTTTTAGGAAGACTCGTCCAAACAACCTTCCGAAGGAAGGTTTTAGGACGGTTTGTTTTTTCGAAGGCTGTTATCACAAACCCTCTTGGGAAAGGTTTTAGGACAGTGGTTATGAAGGTTCTTCCAAAAAAACGTTCCTTGTAAAGGTTTTAGAGGGGGTCTTAAGAGAAATCTCCCAACAACTTTCTGGGGGAAGATTTTAGGACGGTTGTTTAGAAGGTCGTTCCCAAAACCTTCCGAAGGAAGGTGTTAGGAAGGTTTTGCAGAGGATTCGTCCACAAAGCCCTCGTGAGGAAGGTTGTATGTAAGTGTTTAGGGAGGTTATTTAAACAACCCTCCTGGGAAGGCTTTAGGAAGGTCTTTTAGACAGGTTCTTACAAACAAACCCTCCGGAGGAAGATGTTAGGAAGGTTTTTAGGAAGGTTCTTCCAACAAGATCCTCCCGAGGAAGGTGTTAGGGAGGTTTTAAGGAGGATTCTTCCAAAGAGCTCTCCTGAGGAAGGTTTTAGGCAGGTTTTTAGGAAGGTTCTTCCAAACAAGCCCTCCTGAGGAAGGTTCTGGGAAACCCAGACACAGACACAACCTAAACGTCGACTCCCAGGACGATGCGGGAAAACGTTGGGAGTGGAGGGGAGGACGATCACCCGGACAGGGTGGAACAGTATCTTGGATCCTGGGATGTGTGTCCATCCATCTGCGCCTCCCTGGGCCCCTTCAGCAGGCCCCCTCCCCCCTTGCTCGGCCGCGCGCAGAGGGGGGTAAGGGGTTAGGGGGGGAGAGGAGGCTTCTTAGAAGCAGCCTCCTCCTAGGAAGCCCTCTCCCCCCTCCCCCATACCCCCCCCCTTGTGTAAGGGGGGGGGAGGCTTCTTAGAAGCAGCCTCCTTCTAGGAAGCCCTCTCCCCCCTCCCCCTATACCCCCCCCCCCCTGGTGCGCGCCGTCGGCGGGTGCCCTCTGCGCACGTGCGGCACGGTCGGCGCCCGTCTCTCCAGGCCCGACGAGGTCCCCTGCGCACGTGGCTCGCCTGCCGCGGGCTCGTGCTCGTCGCCCGAGGTCTGCTCGGAGGCTGCGAGGTGCGCGCGCCTCCACGCTCGGTGCCGCCGCGCCGCGGCACGCGCCGCCCATCCCCACGGGGCCCACGCAGAGGGAGCTCGGGAGGGAGGGCGTATTCCAGCATAGTTGATTCCTCTTGGGTTTGCACCCCTCCTCCTCCTCCTCCTCCTCCTCCTCCTCCTCCTCCTCCTCCTCCTCCTCCTTAGTCCTTGACGCTGATCGGACCTGAAGAGCAAGCTTGTGGCGTTAGTCTTCCTCCTCCTCTTCCTCCTCCTCCTCCTCCTCCTCCTCCTCCTCCTCCTCCTCCCTCCCCCCTCCCCCCCTCCCCCCCTGGCTCCCTCCCGCCCCTGGCGCCGCCCCGCGAGGCCAGCCTGATAGTCCCCGAGGGCGCCAGGCCCGGCCGGCTCCTGGAGTTCTCCGCGCCCGACGGCGCCGCCGCCGCCCGGCCATCTTCGGCGGCCTTTCGGCGGCCCCCTCGGCGGCCCTTCGGCCTCGGCGGCCCTTCGGCGGCCCTCGGGCGGCCCCTCGGCGGCCCGTCGGCGGCCCTCGGCGGCCCCCCTCGGAGGCACCGTCGGCGGCCCCCCTCGGAGGCACGTCGGCGGCCCTTCGGCGGCCCCCTCGGCGGCACGTCGGCGGCCCTTCGGCGGCCCCTTCGGCGGCCTTCGGCGGCCCCTCGGCAGCCCTCCGCGGGGGCCATCCGCGGCCCTCGGACCAAGGAGGCCTCAGGAGGCCCTGGGCGGCCCTCGGCGGCCTTTGGCGGCCCTCGCTGGCACGGGCAGCGGCGAGGAGAGCGTCGTCGTCGTCGTCGTCGTCGTCGTCGTCGTCGTCGTCGTCGTCGTCGTCGGCGGGTTAGCTGTCGTCGTCGTCGCGTCGCTGGTGTTCGAGTCGCTGTCCCTCCTCCATGCTCTACCATCCAGAGGCGTGCCCCACTGCTGCAGGAGAACGCGTGCGCTGTCCCTCCTCCATGCTCTACCATCCAGAGGCGTGCCCCATTGCTGCAGGAGAACGCGTGGTCTGAGCACGCGACCCACTCACACCCCCATGATTCCTCATTCTTTATTATTCCCTCTTCCCTCGTGTGTGTGTGTGTTACAACAAAAAGAACACATACCATGACAGGAATATCTGTGACACTTCTGCGTGGATGCTAGAGTGGACAAGCAGGTGGCTCAGAAGAGCAACTCTGCCGAATGTCAGCTGGGCAAGCCGCCCGGCAGGACGCATGTCATAGCGATGCGCCATGTCTGGAACAAGTCAAAGGTGGCAAAGCATGAACGATCCCCGCCAAGTCCAGGACGGCGCTTTCTCCTTTCAGAGGAGACGGCGACGGCGGCGCGTGTCTGTGCATGTCGAGCAGCAGCAGCAGCAGCAGCAGCAGCAGCAGCAGCAGCAGCAGCAGCCAGGAGGGCGACCCCTGAGCGACCGAGGAGGCGGGCGAAACCGCCAGCGGCAGCGACGGGTGGACGACCAGCGCCGGAGAGAGGGCGGCCGGCGCCTCGGCCTGGGCCGGACAGCGGAGTCCGCCGGAGAGTCGGCCGTGGAAGCGTGGAGGGTCGATTGGAGGCCCTGCGCCCCGGGGAAGGGGCCAACTCCCCCTCCTCCTCCTCGTCCTCCCCCTCCTCCTCCTCCTCCTCCTCTTCCTCCTCCTCCTCCTCCTCCTCCTCCTCCTCCTCCTCCTCCTCCTCCTCCTCCTCCAAGGCGGACCGACCGGGAGGGGATCGGTGCGCGGCGTCGACGTTACCCGAGGCGCCAGAGGCGTGGAGGCCTGATGCTTGGCCGGCGAAGGGCGGAGCGTCCGTCGGGGGCGCCTGCCCCACGGCGGCCGGGCGGCTTCTGCCCCGACGTGCCACGAGAAGGGTCCACACTGTCCAGCCTCGCTGGGGCCCAGCGGCCCAGGGCGGCGGAAGAGCTTCTGCGCCGAGAAGCGCTCGGAGGCTCGAGAGGTCGCGGCGGCAGGGGCCGCAGCGGCGCCGCCCAGGGGCCGCAGCGGGGCCCGCGCCCAGGGCTCCGCGGCTCGCTCTCTCGGGCGCGGGACGAGGGCGCGCGAGCCTCCCCGGGCGCCCCTGGAAGGCGCGCCTCGGCCTCTCGGAGGAGTGGCGGCGAGCGCAGTTCGGCCCACGGCCGCCGCGTTCGCGCAGCGTCCCAGCTCTGGCGCCGTGATCGGCGCAGGTCGAGCCAGCACGGCATCGCATTCCCACTCCAAGGTTTTGCTCCGAAGCCGCAAGAGAAGACCGGCCACTCTCGCCGATGAGCAGGAGCCGCGCGAGTCCCTCGGGCATGGCGGGTGCGGAGAAGACGCAGCCCCAGACATGCTCGCGACGTGAAGAATTCATGACGGAGATTTGTCGCCGTCTTCGGCCCCCTGAGGCCCTCGCAGGGCCCTGGGGCCCGTTATAAGCACGACGACGCAGGGTGGAAAACCGGCCCCGGGGAAAGGGTCGGTACTTCGGGGGCGCCGCATCGAAAGAATCAGGACCTCGCGTGTCTGGGGCAGCAGCTCGCTGACCTTCGCAGCGTGAAGGGTGCCGACGGCCAGCCGGGCCATCGCGGGCGCCAAGGACGCGCGCTGGCGCGGTCGACCGATGGCCCGTCGGGCGACGCCCTAGTAAGTACCGGCGCCGCAGCCGAAGGGCCACAGCTCCGGTCGCCCCCCCAGGACGTGCAGGACCTGGAAACGGCAGGGCTGTTTTCGTGTATGCTGTTATTCGGAATTTTGCGCCTTGAACTATGAAATTTCAACCTACTTTAGCTTTGACCGCCAGACAGAATTTCGAGCACCGAGAGAGTGCCGAGTCTGGAGGGTTGTCACGCGTCGGGCCTTGGGAGGCGATGCTCGTTCGACACTGTTTCGATACTTTCCTGGGTGCTCGGAATTATTTTTGGGGATGTGGTCCTGAAGTGCGATGGGAACAGCATAAGCCTTGCAATTGAAAGCGCGAAAAGAAGGGTCCACCGAAGCGGATAAAACAGGGCGCCGCCAACGGAGCCATAACTGGAACCGCGGCGCGGCGATGGAATCGGAACAAACGCTGCGACGGGACTGGATAGGCAACCGCGGAAGAACTGAGCCCGAACGAAAAACGGCCCCGTTTCCAGGGCCTACCTGAGTGCAGGACGCGCGAGGACAAGGCGCCCTGAGGGGGGGGGGGTCGTCCTTACTGGCCCGCGGGCGAGACACATGACCGAGAGGCAGTCCCGCTGCGGCCGGCAGAGTCGGCTCCGCAAGGATGTTCCGAAGCCCAGGGTGGGGTGGGGATCGGGGGCCTTGGGGCGGGGGTCCATGCAAACGGGGGTCAGCCAGAGCGCCAGATCTTGCAGGGTCCTGCAGAGCCAATGGTGCACTGACCCAGGCTGACCCAGAAAATATGGGAAAATATGGGGAATCCTGTCACTTGTGTCTATTTATTTGTGTGTCCCAGGGCCCCTTCAAACACCCTGCAGGGTCCTGCAGGATCCTGCAAGGCCTGACCAGTCCGGGTCTGCACTTGACCCGGGTCGGCGCGTCCCCGAAGAGAGGCCCAGGGCGTCCACGTGGGGGGCGAGGGCGTTTTCCAACGGGAGCGAAAGGGGTGGGTGGAGGCAGTGTTCTTTGTTATTTTGACGTTTTTTGCCGCGGGATGTTTTCCAGCATGTGCGCCTGGTCGGGAACTCTCCAGGGGTGCCCGGATCGTCCCGAATGGCCGCGTCAGACACTAGAATTGACAGGCGTCGAAGAATCGAAGAGGGGGGTCCAGGTTTGTGTGTGTGTGTTTGTGTGTGTGTGTGTGTGTGTGTGTGTGCGTGTGGCTCTCTGCGGCCGCCCTGTCGGTCTCGTTTTCCCCCCCTCTCGCCTGCTGGCCACTTCGCCATTCGGTTGCCCCGGATCGCCACACGCTGGCGCGGACATGCGCGGACCGCCTCCGCCTCGCCGCCGGCGAAAAACGTGTGTGTGTGTGTGTGTTGTGTGTGTGTGTGTGTGTGTGTGTGTGTGTGTGTGTGTGCGTGTGCGTGTGCGTGTGCGTGTGCGTGTCTGTGTGTGTGTGCGTGCGTGCGTGCGTGCGTGCGTGCGTGCGTGCGTGCGTGCATGCATGCGTGCGTGCGTGTGCGTACGTGCGTGCGTCCGTGCGTGCATGCGTGCGTGCGTGCGCGTGCGTGTGTGTGTGTGTGTGTGTGGATATTTTGGCCAGGTCCATGAGATCTCCCAGATTTCAGGGCCCCCTCTTTTCTCTCCAGCGCGCTCCCTGGCCCCCCTTCGTCCGCGCACGCGCCACGGGCCACGCTTCGCTGAACCCCCGCTCCTGCCCCTCCCCGCCCCTCCCTTTCGGCGCACCCTTCCCCTCCTGCGCACCTCATTTTGTATGCGTCTCGCACGCGCGCCTCGCCACGCAGCACAACGTGCAGGGGCCACGGCCTCGCTCGCCTGGCCTCCAGTAGGCCCAGGCGTCCTGCGCGCAGTGGTGCTCGCTCGCACGCCTACCGGCGCACCCGAGAGGGTCGGGGCCTGCTTCCTTCGGGGGCCCCCAAACGGGGTGGTGACCACACCGTGCGGTGAGTCGGTGGGGATTCGGGGTCGCCGCACGGTTTTGGGACTCGAGTTCCTGTCCGAGGATGTCTCGGGCGACAGGGGCCTCCAGGGTCCCAAGACCGTGCGGTGACGGACCGTGCGGTGAGGTCTCTTGGGGTTCCGAGGTCACCGCACGGTCTGTCACCGCACCGTTTCGGGACTCCAAATGCTTCCTGCTCGGGTGCCCCATCTCCCGCGCGCGCGCGATGGCGCCTTGCTGCAGCCTCTTCCGCGTGCGCGTCGTCGGTGGTCAGCTCGGCCCGGCGGGGCCCCGAAGGGGACGGGGCGTCCGCTGGGTGTTGGCAGGCCTCTCGCGCGGACGGAACGGGGAGTGGCAGTAGGAGGAGGAGGGAGCGGGGAGGGGAGGAGGAGGAGGAGGAGGAGGACGAGGAGGAGGAGGAAGATGAGGACGAGAGGATTTGGCCCTAGATCGGGCAACAGCAGCCCAGCGGGTCAGATATTGCGAAGCGGAGTAGGGGCATCCGCCGCCATTGTTCTCTCACGATTACATCCTTCTTTTCCTCCCAGCCGCCACAAGGCTTGGGAGCCAGCCTGGCACAGGCGCCAGCGGGCCGTGCGAGCCAGGATTCGAATCCTGCTCAGATTTGCCAAGACATAGAAGATAGTCAGCCGTCACCACAGCAGCCCGATGTCGAAACAGTGGTGGACATGTTCGAGATGCCGTGCCACGCTCCCAGGTACACAGTGGAAATGCAGATGCAGATGGGAATGGCGCACGCCTCGAGCTCTTTCACAAAGTCGTCATCCGACCTTTCCGAACAGTAAAGAGAGCAGGCAGCTGCACCAGTTGATCCAAAATAGCATCGGTGATGTGACACCAGCACTGCCAGCTAAAGCGCAAAACCATTCGTCATGGATCGCCCCGCCAGCCGAGCAAGACGACATGCCAGATTGCAGGAAAGACGTGCAGGATCGCATGCGTAAGCTAGCGTCGATCGCGATCGCCAAGCAAGAGTCAGGCAGATCAGCAGAAGAGGAAAATACCGACACTGCCGCTCTCAAGCAGGTGATTTTCAGCACCAAGCCGATCGCGTCCCAGATCCTCGGCTTGCGTGCGAGACTCGAGAAGATCGTGGTGCACCAAGAAGCAGAATATGATCAACCCCCAGGAGGAGATCGAGGAACAACCCAGCGAAAAGGCGGATCTAGAGCTGCTCACCAAGAGCATGGAGGAGGAGAGGGAGAACACCGAGGCCATCGCCGCAGGTGGAGGTGGTCATCGTGCAGGGAGAGGTGGTGTTGTTCCTATGAGCGATGTTCGCGATCCGCCTCGAACAGCGCCGCCGCCAGACCCGATGGCAGCGCAGATGGCAGCCACCCAAGCCACGCAGCAGACCACATGCTCCGCATTGACGGCGATACTGAAGGCATTGCAGGGTCATGGCATCCAGCTCGACACGACCGCGGCGGCGGAGATCATGCTGGCAAACGCGACGACGGCAGCGGCATCATCGGAGGGGGCGACGACAAGCAACAGCGCCGGCATCCGCCAGAGCACCGCCCAGAAGCGCCCGGCGTCCAAGGGGAAGGGGGCCCTGGGCAAGGAGGCTGCCAAGATGGGCGGCGAGTGCTGGGATCGTCGCCGCCCAAGCAAGTGCACGTTGGCATCGCGCCGGAGATCGCTCGTGAAGATGATGGCCCCTCAGGAAGTGGATATGTTCGACGGTTGCGCGAGCGCCGCGGGCAAGCTACAGCGCCGGCATCATCGACGCCGTCTACTGTGATGTCTGAGGCCTTTTTTATGTCGCAGGATCGAGCGATCCACTTTTTTGTTCCAGAAGTCTTCGCGTCGCCAGAGATGCCGACCAATGGCCAACAATTCAAACAAAAACCCAGCTCGGGGAGAACCGCGCCCATTTCAAATCAACGATGTCTAGATCAGTCTCGAGAGACAGCCACCTGCAGCATCACTGGGGCTAACGGAATGATGGACGCCATTCGTGCCTGTTGGGGTGGCTTTGGTTTAACTGGAGGTGTGGGGCATGTCGAGTTGGTAGCAGCAGCAGAGATGGTGTTAGAGATAGCGCAGCCCATGGATGGGATCCGAGATGTGTTGCGCATCTACACTGACGGATCTTTGCCTGCCGACCCCCAGATGGTAAGTTGGGCTTTTCGTTTTCACTGCACGGGCTAGCGGTGGCCATTGTATTGGAGGGGGAGCTGCAGGCCGCTCGACTGAAATCGGCGCGCGCAGTCATGGCAGTTGGCTAGTGGCGCGATTGCAGAGCTTGCGCAATATACGTGGCCACGATTTGGACCCTGGGGGCAGCGATACCTAAAGAGGGAAAGATTAGGAGTGCATGCCCCCGAAGTTGTGCTTTGGATCGATTCGATTTCTGGTCTAGGGATAATGACTGGAGAGCTCGTTCCCAGTAGCCAGCAGGAACAAGCTAGTTTGACCCAGTGCCTTTTCTGGAGAAGTAGGTCAGCGAACGAAGATCCGAGCGAACTACGTCCGAGACCACGCGAACAATCCTTGGGAAGAAGTTGCTGATGCTCTTGCCGAGTACGAAGCTAGCGGCATCGCTCATTTTGCTGGCACTCCGCCGCAGGAGATGAGCGCACGGCTATATGCCGAGCCCGCGCCGGAGTGGGCGCGGCTGGATAAAGCGCTCGAGTCCGCGCGCAGCTTGTATCGCCGAGACAATTCGGGTGATCTTGTGGCGACCCATGGGGGGAGACATGCGCGCCCACCTTTTGGGGGGTGCCCTTTTGGGCCCCCCCCCGCTTCCCCTGAGAGCGGCCGCTCAGGGGCCCGGGGGCTTCCTTTTCCTTCTTCCGCGACAGTGCGGACCAGGTTTGCGTCGCGCAACGCTTCAACGGCGAAGCTACATGCTTACCGCAGCGCGTGCGAGTTCTTGCCAGGTCAACGCCTTTTAATGTGCGGTCTTGCTACTTCTTACCGCAGTTCTTACTACCTGCTTACCGCAGCCCCGACTTTTAATGTGCCAGGTCAACGCCCAGCGCCGGCAGGCGACCGCCGCTGCGGGCCGCGCCCCCCGCCGGCGCGCGGGGGCGGCGGAGGAAGGGCGCCAGTGGGGGGATGAGCTAGCGATATGCGCGCGCATGTTTAAGATCGAGTTCACGCTGCTGGATTCCAGTGGTCGAGTAGGCCATGATATTTCGGATCGGATAGGGGGCCGGGGGCGGATGCTACCACGATATTCGGAATGCGATGAGCTGTTGCCCCAAACCTATTTGCGCGCCCCCGCCGCCCTTCTCCCCTCAGCCACGGGCGGGCGTGCGTGCGTCGGGCCGGACGGTGAGTGGCGCCGCCTGGTTTTTGTGCTTTGTCAGCTGAGCGATGCACAGTGCGCGGCACAGCGCTGGGTCGATCATGGGTTTGACCGCGAGAGGCTACATGAGGACCATTACCCTGCTTTCTTTGATTTCGATTTTCGCGGACTCTGGGCGCGCCATCTTCGAGGCCCCTGATAGACCGAGGCAAGACAAAAGATTTTGCGAGGGTACAGAAGCTCGCTAGGTTAATTGCCAACCTACCACACGTTCACCATCGTGCAGGAGAAAATGCACGCTGCCATCAGTTGCAGGCTGCCTGGCGTGAAGCTGCCTTCCAGTGCTTCCCGGCTGAAGCAAAAGAGCCGCTGCGCACGCGCATGTCTGCGCCTTCTTTGGCAGCCGCCCAGCGTCGCCGCCAGGTCCGCGGTGCGCCGCGGGCACATCGCGATCATGATGCCCGACCTCTCCTCACCTAACGGAGCTGCGTGGGGTCATCCCCCACGTGAATCTTCTCCTGAGCTGGATTTGATATGGCGACGCATCCCTCTCTTAGGTTGATTTTTTGACAGTGGAGATGCGCCTCTTCAAGCGGCGGCGTGCAAGCTGGCATGCTGCGCGAGAGCCACCCATGCGATCGCGCGCAGGCGAGTCCGCCAAGGTCGGCTAAGGTTGCCGCGGGAGTTTGGCGAAGAACACAAGCAATAGATCACGAACCATACGTGCAGGGAGGAATGGGGTCAAGTCAGGAGACATCTGAGATACGGGGGGGGGGGGCGAATGGCAAGCATCCCCAATCGGGCTTGCCGGCGCATGTGGACCCAGACGGCCAAGTTTTAACGGGCGACGAAACAGCTGCGTGATGCAAGCAAGATCTTTTCGCGCGCGCAGAGCTTGCCCCTGTCGAAGCCAAGACGCAGTTGCGGCAGCGGTACAACGAGCGCATCACCAAAGCGCCGCTGCCACCCGTTCGGGATATCCAGCGCATCACGTCCCGCAGCAGTCTCGAAAGGAGTTCAAGAGAGCCAAGACAGGAACAGCAGCGGGCCCAGAAAAGCTCGGGGGTGAGTTGTTAAGATGTGTTGCTGAGCAGGCTACAGAGCAGTGCCACCCCCTTTTTGTTAAGATGCAGTTGAGCGGTGTCGAGCCACTAGACGTGATGGCAGGATGGGCTGCGGCTGTACCTAAGCCAGGTCTAGACAGTAGGTGTCTTAACAATCTGCGCGGTATCATCGTAGCTACGTAGCTAACCGCGTTGCTAAACACCGCTGCAAGTTCCTTCGCTCGAGGTGTGTCGAGCTAGCAGGTAGGCTCTTGCGTGATTTGCAATGCGGAGGAATGCCCCGGAGAGGTGCGAGCTTTTGGTCACGCATGACACGCGCATTCATAGATTTGTGTGGACATGTGAAGATAACAGGCATCGCTTTCCCCCCTGATACCAAGTTCCCATTCTGTGCTCCGACAGATGTCGCTTCCACTTCCCGGCACCGAGTCGGAGTTTGAAGCGGGAGTCCGCGCCGTGGACCCCCCGCCATCGCTCAGCCAGGCATTGGCGCAGATGCTTCTAGAAGGTCCCTCTGTGGACATGCTCGGTGAAAACCACGGTGAAGTTCCCCTCCCCAATTAGAAAGCAGTTGGCTGAGAGCCAGCATGACGCATGGCGTGGAGTCCAGAGAGCCAAAACGCCGCGCATGCCACGACTGGCGCGAGGCCGGGCTCGCCGCCAGCAGACATCATGTTTTCATTGGATTTTGCCCCGGCGCGCGCTGCGGCCACAGCAAGGAGAAGGATGAAGATCTTATGATCACGACGCAAGAAATTGGCGAAGCCGCGGATGCTTTCTATGCTCCTGGGCGAGCAGTGGCTCTGGCAGTTGGATCGTTGCATGTAGATGACCGATGACCTCGCATCTTTGGCGGGAGCTCGAGAGACCAGCCAATGGAAGCACGTCGCGCAAAGGGCAACATGCATAGCGTGCGAGGAGCTTGCTATTAGATGGTTCAGGCTGGAGCCGTTGGACCATTGCGTGCTAGTGTGTCTAAGGTCGAAGGGCTAGAGACCAAGAAGAGGCTTCAGTCTGCTGCGTCTTTTTGCTTCAGCCGCCTTTTTTGCAACGCGCGCGCTGGGCCGCCGCTCGACGTCGCGACGGAAATGCTGCCGGCAGGAGAATGCACGTAAGTTGCGCGTGCTTCGACAGGGAAGGCGCGCGACTACGCCGGCCAGAAGATGGCTTGCGACGTGGACGTGTATGCGTCTCTGCAGGTGCTCCCCGCCCGCGATGTCATGCGTGCCCGCGGGCTACGATGCTTGCCCAACTTGCTCGAGACAGGCGCCCGCGCTTTTGTTTGGACGCTAGATATTGTAGTGCAAGCGGAGGGTTCTTGGGCACATGCCCTCATGAAATGCCTCTAGTAGATGGCCACTCTCGTTGAGGTCCCCGAAAGGCTCCAGCCCGTGCGTGATGCGAAATGGTCGATAGTTCTCACCAGAACGGTTTGCCGTCACGGAAAGCACGTTGCGCGACCCGAGCAAGAGCTGCAGGCAATGCCCATTTGACTAGACAGCCCCTTAGCCAGCGGCGCAAAGAGCTACGCGCGATTTTTTCGCAAGCGGCGTTCGAGGGTCCATCGTGTTTAGAGCAATTCGAACCCGCGTGCCTCTTTCCCTGCCGCGACTGCGGCGCGGTTCTCGAGACCATCGGAGCGCGGCGCCACCGTCGCGCCGTCCGCCACCCCGCGCTGGGCGCGGCGGGGGGCGCGGCGGAAGGCTCGCACTGCCAATCGTGCGGCAGGAAGTTGTTCAAGGACATATGGCTGCTGAAGCATCTGAGGCGCGGTTCCTCGAAATGCCCAGCAGCGCCCCAGGCGCATTTCTGGCCAGCAAGCGAGCCGGATATCCCCAGGAGAAGGGCCGAAAACAACGAGGCGGCTGAGGAGATGAGAAGCCTTGGCCGCCGAGCAGTTCGCAGAGCTTCCTGCGCAGCGTTCTATTGGACCCTCACTTGAGGGATCCGTGCAACGTCGCGCTGCGCGCCCGTCTTGCCGGGGAGTTGGGGGGCAGCCATTTCCAGGATGCTTTCGGCAATCCGAGATGTGCCACGTTTGTTCGGCGACGCTCCAAGTTGGGGCACGCTAGTCTCAAACATGTGTAGTGCTATTCCGGAGATTTCATACCTATACGACCACCCTTCGGGTGATAAGGAGGTGAGGGGGGGGGAGGGACCAACGTCGCACTCGATCGATCTCACTCTCAATATCACTATCGATCTCACTATCGATCTCACATTCGGTCTCACTATCGATCTCACTATCGATCTCCCATTCGGTCTCACTATCGAAATCACGATGGATATCACAATCGATCTCACATTCGGTCTCACTATCGATTTCACTATCGATCTCACAATCGATCTTACATTCGGTATCACTATCGATATCACTATCGATATCACAATCGGTCTCACAATCGATCTCACATTCGGTCCCACGATCGATCTCACCATCGATCCCCCATTCGGTGCCACTATCGATTTCACTATCGATATCACAATCGATCTCACATTCGGTCTCACTATCGATCTCACTATCGATCGCACAATCGATTTCACAATCGGTCTCAGTATCGATCTCACTATCGATATCACTATCGATCTCACAATCGATCTCAGATTCGGTGTCACTATTGATCGCGCTATCGATCTCACAATCGATTTCACAATCAATCTCACATTCGGTATCACTATCGATTTCATGTTCGATCTCACAATCGATCTCACAATCGATTTCACATTCGGTCTCACTATCGATATTAGTATCGGCATCACTATCGATATCATTCGATCGATCTCACAATCGATCTGACTATCGATCCCACTATCGATCTGACTATCGATCTCACTATCGATCTCACATTCGGTCCCACAATCGATCTCACTATCGATATCGCAATCGCTGTCATCATCGTCAACATCAACATCATCATCATCATCATCATCATCATCATCATCATCATCATCGCCATCATCAACATCATCATCATCACCATCATCATCATCACCATCATCATCATAATCATCATCATCATAGTCATCATCAACATCATCATCGGGACACCGACGGGACACGGACGGCACACTGGCGGGACACTGGCGGGACACCGCGCGCCACCGGCCGCCCGGTGGAGAATCATTTGGTCCGGCCGCGCCTCAGCCACAGAGGACACCACCGGGACACCGGCGGGACACCGCGCGCCACCGGCCGCCCGGTGGAGAATCATTTGGTCCGGCCGCGCCTCAGCCACAGGAGACTTTCCTCTCGCCCGCCCACGCAGCTTCGCCTCGCCCGCACGCACGGCACGCACGAACACGAAACCGAAATCGATATCCGGGTAGGGGGCTCTCCGTTCCACTTTGATCTCACCCCCTCACCTCCGATAGTGATGTTCCTGTTTTCGTTGAGGCGATATGTTTAACGAAGCCTGAGCAACCCAAGGATTCATTGTATCGAAATCGTTCCCGTGAAACTGTAGCTGTATATGCGCGGCCATGGTGTGAATCCTGGGGTGTCCCTAATGAGCGTTCTGATAGGAGGTCCTCGGCGATTGAAAGATCAGACCAGTTTGTGTGGGGCATGCCGTGGTTGCCCGAAAGATTTCGGAATGTGATCAGTGCCGACAACGCAAAGCTTCGTTTGTCCATTCGTGTTACCTACATGTGTGCTGTACACACGTGCACTTGTTCCCTTTGCTTGCCGCGTGTGGGTGCGAAGCCGCGGCAACCCGCTTGCCCTGGTCTCAGATCACCGACCCATCGCGCGACCAGCGCGGGAATGCCGCTAGGCCGTGGAATGGGAGTGCGTGCGTTTTCCCGAAAATGTGAGAAAATATGGGAAGTGGGGGGGAAAACGAAAATCCCAAACATACTGAAACACATGGGGAGTCCTCGGATTTGTGTGTACACCGACGGCGGTCAATAAGAAAGCTGTTTTTTCGTTTTAGGCCCTGCCAGTGTCTTATGGCGCGGCGTGGTTGGGCATTGCAGGGGCTGGCAATTTCTTCTGCGTTCGGTATCTTGCCCAATGGCCGCGCAGTGCATTATGGTTGCCTCTTCCCTGGCTGATTTTCGTTGTTCGGGCTTGTTTTCGCTTGCCCGTCGGTTCCTGTAACATCGCTTGGCACGTCGATCGCCCCACGTCTGCTCGGCCCATCGGCTGCCTCTTCCCTCGCTGGTTATGTTGATCTTTGTTTGTTTTCGCTTGTCCGTCGGCTTCACTGTTCGCCCCAAGCCTGGAGTGGCCGGGCCGTCGTAAGGCCTGCGAATTCACCTGCTATTTCCTTGATTTTTCGGGGCCCCAGCTCAGCCGTAAGATTACTTCTCTTCTGGTTGTCTGAATACTGACCGTCGGTGTATTTACTCGTGTGTCCCTGGGCCCCTCCCCACACGCCCCTACACTTAAGTCGGGCCTGTCCCCCTACAGGGGGATTTTCGACGAAAAATAGACGATACCCAAAAAATAATAAAAAACAAAAAAAAATGTCCAAAGTATTTTCTGACCTTTTTGGGGGGTATTTTTGGAGTATGTTTAGTTTGTTGTCGAAAATCCCCCTGTAGGGGGACACGCCCGACTTAACCCTACACTCATTCCTTTTCAGTGCAAGAAACGCCCCCCCTCCTGAAAGACCGGCACAGTTGAGCCTGCCATGTTGACGAGGGCCCTGCTTTGAAAAGGAATTGTCGTTCATCTTTCTGGCGCGTAGCCTTAGAAAGCCCAGGGTTTGCTAGGGATCGGTTCCCCTCCAAAAAAGCAACGAAAACCCGTCAACAGCCCTTCCGGAACCATCCGAAAAGCCTCTGGGATCTCTTCCTGGAGGGTTTTCGGAAGGTTTCGGAAAGGGTGCGGCTGCTGTGAAAGGAAACCAGCCCCTACCGAACCCAGGACTGCCTCAGCGTAACCAAGTCGCGGAAAACTATGATCACACAGTTCAACAAGGGGTACAGCGAAATCTCCGCTTCGACGACGGGCCCCCACATCCGTGTAAGTCTTTCCTACTTTCAGGACATCTCAAGCGACAGCTCCAGTTTGCAGGGGAAAAGCCGCTTTGGATCCGTACATCGCTAGGTATGTTCCAGTTGCGTTCTGTTTGTTGGAAGCGTCAGCGAAATTTCAGGCGAGGACCATGTCTTGAAAAGGAGCAGCCCTCCATCCTGCTTGAAAAAGCACGCTGGGTTCCAAGAGCACATGCGCGTGGCGCGGAGGCGAGAACATCATTCCGAAACCGACAGGTGCTCAATTCTTGGTAGGCGTTGCAAGGATTTGAAGCGAATGCTCGCGGCGCGAAGGCGAGAGCCCCACTTTGCAAGGGAACCGCCCTCCCTCCGTGAAGCTGCGGCAGACTTTCAGGACGAACGTGCGCAGCGCTCGGGCGAGAGCGCCACTGTGAAGAGAAGCCCCTTCCCTCCCTGACACTGCTGCAGACTTGTGAGCCCAAGGCCTTCGTCGCTCAGGCGAGAACCGCATTTTGAGAACGACCCTCCATCGTGAACGGGTTGCACATTTTAAGACGAGCGTACGCGGCGCTACAGCGAAAACCACAGTTTGAAAAGGAAGCGCCCTCCATCTGTGAACCTGTTGCAAACTGTCACTAAGAATGTCCGCGATGCTTATGCGCGAGCTTCATGTTTACAACGACTCGTGCTCCGTCCGTTAAGCTGCTGCTATATCTTTAAACACAATATGCGCGGCGCTGAGGCGAGAGTCACAGTTTGAAAGTGCCCCCCTCTGTCCGTGAAGATGTTGCAAACTGTTGAGAAGAATGTGCATGGCGCGGAGGCGCGAGCTACATTTTGAAAGCGGTCCCCCTCTCCATCCGTGAAGCCGTTGTAAAGTTCAAGCTCCAGGATCATACGTGGTGAAGTAGTCTTATGCGAAACGCCCGGCCCGCCCTACAGACATGTCTGGGCGTGCGACAAGGAGGAGCTATTGATAATGACAAACATGGAGGCGCAGGAAGAGGAGGAGAAGGAGGATCAGGAGTAGGAAGAGGAGGAGGAGGAGGAGGAGGAGGAGAAGGAGGAGGAGGAGGAGGAGCAAGAGGAGGAGTAGGAACTGGAGGAGGAAAAGGCGGAGGAGCAGGAGCAGGAAGAGTAGGAGGAGGAAGAGGAGGAGAAGGAAGAGGAGCAGGAGGAGGAGGAGGAGGAGGAGGAGAAGGATAATATGATGGATGAGGAGGTTTTGACGGATAATTAGGCTCAGTGGGGGAGGAGGATGAGGAGGAGGAGGAGGAGGAGGAGAATGAGGTGGAGAAGGAGGATGATGCTGAGGAGGAGGATGAGGATGAGGAGGAGGCGGACACCTGAAGTGGGGGGAGGAGATGGAGAAGCAGGAAGAGGATAATGGAATGACATGGGATGTATTGGAATGGAAGATGAGTTGGAGAACAGTGAGATGGAAGAGGTCAGGGGGGATAGGGGAGATGATGGAGGAGGCCAAGGGGAGGGAGGGAGGGGTCTGGGGGACGGGAGGGATGGGG